AGCGTCAGGCGGCTTTGCCGCGACCTGGCCACGGCGCGGGCTGCGCCCGCGTGCGTTTCGCACTTCTCGAGAAGGGGTGCGCCCAGGCCGCGGTTTGCGGGGGGACATGGACAACAATGGCGGCGGCCGACTGCCGCTTCCAGCAATCCAGCTTCATTTGCAACCTCTGTCAACGCGGCGGCGATGCCGCGCCGCGCGTGCGTTTGCCCAGCCTGCCCTGTGGAAAGTTCAAAAGGCAAGGCCGATCAACAGTGAGATCGACTTCACCAGTGCGTCCGAGCAGCTCCTCTTCGCCAGGGGCGTCTTCGAGCGCCCCGGTCACGCGCGCGCCCCCCCCCGCTGTCGGGGAGTTCGCTTGCACAAGGATCGCGGGGACTTGGAAGAGTGGGGCGCGTAGGCGGACGCTGCTGCCGAAGCGCAGTTCTTGAATTGTCCTTGCGGATATGCCCGCCGCCCCAACATTGTCAAGCAATTCCAGTGGCCCAGGCGAAAGTGCAGTGGAGCATTCTCAAGTATGCTGCTCACGGGACTGATGACTGTTTAAAGAGTTACGGTCGCTAGATGACCCTGTTTTGAGTGACGTGGAGAAGTTTTTTTCAGTTCGGCGATGGCGCTGCTAGTTTATCTGCCACAATTGCCGTTTGCCGCCACCCCAGTCCTTCTCTTAAGCAGAGCGAGGGTCTGGACAGACAGCTCGTGATGTCCAACCTCGCGCACGTTGGCGGCCAAATTCCTTCTGCTCTGGTCGCGCCTTAACCTCTCGGCAGCGACGCTATCTGAAGAAATCAGAAGCGCAGGCGCGGCGAATGTCGGCCACGCCTGGATGTGGGTATGCAAACATTGGCGGCGCGAGAGATGCTCCCGTGGCTCCAAGACCTCGGACAGTCCCCCTGGTGGGTTTCGGCCGCAGAGGGCCCGGGGTTGGCACCCGAGGTTTCGACGCTCCTAGGCTCCAGGGACTGGGGGGCAGACGATGCACTTCCTGGAAGCCAGCGACTGTTCTTTTCATGTTTTCGCGTGCCCGCTGCAAGTGTGATGCGAGCGACGGGCGGGCAGGTGGTTTCAAACAGGTGCCATGCTCTTGCAAGCGCATTTGCGCAGGTCGCCACCCCAAGCGCGACCGCGTTGCAGTGCAGGTCGGGCCTTGGGGCGAGGAGGAGGGTGCTTTCCCCTCCTTCGGCTCCGCGTTTCAGCCAGAGCGGTGCAGCTCGCAGCTGTCAGGGAGAGTCTTCGGCGGGAGGCGGGGGGAGTCGGGGCCCTGTCGGCGGCGATTCGGGAAACTCGGACTGTTCAGTTCAGTTCGGCCGCTCCCAGCACTCCTCCTCTGTCCGCGGAGGCTGTTACGTGCGTCTTTTCGATCGGGTCCCGCTCCACCTGCGGCCCAGGCCGCAGGCTCGTGAACTCAGTGTATTTGTTCAATATCATGTGATGCCTGGTGTTAAGATCCTCCCACCCCCTCCTCCTCCTCCTTTCCCTCCCTCTTGCCCTTCTGCCCCTTGGGACTGAACCATTAAGAACCGGGAGGGAAAAGGAGCATCCGTGATTCTAGCCCTCCCAATTTGGGTCCGAGTAGGTGGGTCGGATGGTCGCGCCGCATCGCCGATGCATCGTTGACGCGGCTCGATGCGGAGTCCGATGTTCTCCGCGCCGGCGTTGCCGATGCACTGCGACGTCGCCGACCCATCGCCGACGCATCGCCGATGCATCGCCGATGCGGCGCGATTGGAGGCCTCTCGCAAAGGAGTGCGGCGAGGGGCATTGGATCAGGAACCCGCGGATAAGCATTCCTGGGCCAGGAACCCCGTGGAACACCAATTGAAGTTCGGCCGCAGAAATCACAGTCGCTCTCATTAGATCAAGAAGCCTCTACGGTCTGAAACCTCTTGTGCACATTTCTGAACCAACGCCCTACCGCATCGTTGATTCGCCGCCGTGACGCAGCTGGTGCGGGGCCATTGTGGTCCAGGGATGATGACTGCGATGCAATTGCAGCGGTTTGCCCCCCCCGTCGCTCCCCCGCCATTGGGAGCCCGTCAGCGCGTTACTACTTCGTTCGTTCTTGCCGATTGCGTGGTGTCCGTCAACAGTAAAGCGGTCATGGGTTCCCAACGGCGACATGTCATTTACATTGTTTCTGCTGGTCAAAGGTACAGACAAATTCGCAAATATTGATTAGCGACGCGTGAATTAGCGACGGCTCCCGTTTTCGTGCAGAGCGGCGCGCTCCGTTTCTAAGGTTTGCAGCATTGTCTTCATGTTTCGGGGGATGAGCTTTCCACGATCCGTGGATCTGGCACCCACGCGTCAGATCCACGGAGCCATAATTCATATCAGCGCATGCCAGAAACGGGTTCAATGTCAGTTCAATGTTAACGTTGTTCCCAGGCCCATCAGGGGTTCAGAAGAGGGAAGAAGAAGGGGTTCGGTAGCAAATCATGGGAACCTTGCCCTCGTCAATCCGTCTTGAGAGCGCGCTAGCGTCGTTCAGTGTATATGTAGCGTCGATCCGCCAGAGCCAGCAACATGGTACGGGAGGCCCCCACGAGTTGCCCCATGCAGGGTGGGAGCGGGCCGTCCTGGTAAGGGTACGGCCTCTGCGAGCGTTCATCGGGCCCTTGTTTGGAGCGGAGAGAGTGGGCAGGCCTGGCCCGCCTGGTCCTTCCCTTCCCGGGTCGCCTCCCGGCGACGATGTCCTCCGTCGTGCGCTCTGTGCCCATGCGGAATGTCTGGTCCGAATTCATTGGTCCCTTGAGTTTGGTTCGTTGGTTCGTTGGCCTTTGTTTCTTGGTTCGTTGGTCTTGGTTCCTCGGTGTTGGTTCCTTGCTTCCTTGGTCATAGGTCCTTAGTTTCTTGGTTCTGGTTACTTGGTTTCTTGGTGTTAGTTCCACAGGCCCTTGGTCTTGGCTCATCGGTGTAGGCTCATTGGTCATGTTTGTTGGTCAGTTTCTTGGTCTTGTTTCCTTGGTTATTTAATGCTGTTGCCTCGGTTCCTTGGTCTTCATTCTTTGCTTACTTCGTCTTGGTTTGGTGGTTCCTTGGTCGTGGTTCCAAGGTTACAAGGTTTCGGTGCCTGATTCGCCTACGAGCTGGTGGAAAAGCTGCACACTGTTCCTCGCGTAAGCCTTTCACAACCACCATCGTCATCATCACACCAGGCAATCATATCATGAACATGCATAGCTGCCTTACTATGCTTAAACACATCGTGCTTACTGGCTTACGCGCTTGATTGCTGACTTCCTTACACACTCGCTTACATGCTTGCGCACGTGCTGCTTTCACGGTGTGTTGACCTACTGAGATTTCTCTGTCAGTTTATTTGATTTTCAGGACGTGTGTTAGCCCATCGTGTGTTGCCCCGTTCAGCTCCACCGATAGCATGCAGCCTGCGTCGGCCCTCATGGCTCCGTCTGCGTCGTGTCGGAAGGCTTCGGTGGACAAGCTCACATTGGCGCTAACGAATTTTCTGAGGATCATCGATTTGGGGGCCTCAAAGGGGGTGGGGGGCCCTCGTCGCCACGGGGCTTTGTCTGCCTTGAGATCCTGGGTGGAGCGCGCTCCAGGATATGTCTGCGGTGGGACTAATTCTTGGAGATCATGTAGAGGAGGAGGAGGAGGAATGAAGGGGTCTGGGACGGCTGCGCGCAGAGACGATGGGGCCAGCACTGGATGGCAAGAGGGGTGACGTAAGCAGGGATGAGGGAGGGGTAGGAAGTACGGTATGGTCGTGTGGTATTGACGCGGCCGCGACCCCGCCGCAGACGTTCAATGTTGATCGCCTCCGGTGGCCAGTGCGGAACGATCTGTCCATCGAAAATCCCTCGATCGTTCAAATTTTGACTATCTTCGCGGTGTCAGAGGCCAGCGCTGGCGTCGTCGCGGCACGGATTTGCCGTAAGACTTTTTGACTCACCAGACGGGTCACCGCATCGCTTTGGGTCGGGGGATCGTAGAGGGGGGTTTTCCTAAGGTGGGGTCAGGAAACGAACCAACCTGGACGCTCACAGTTTCTTGCTCTGGGGGGGCATTTGGAGCGATGTTCCTCTAACCCCACCTTTGCCCCTACACCACCTTCACGCTCCTCCGAGTAGGATCCAGGAGAGGAGCGGACGGCTCTTTCGAGACACGTTTTCCGAGGGCCTCGAGGCGGCTTCTGGGACCTCGTGGCCAATCCTGGGGCCTCCACCCAGCCAATGCCAACGATGATCGCCGCCCCACATCGATCCTTGAGGATCTTCGGGAAGGGCAGCGATCCTCGAGGATCGGCGAGCCTCGAGGAACGAGTGGTCCTCGAGCGATCCTGGCAGTCTCCGACTGATGCGAGCGCTAGGTCCCCCCCCCTTGCCCAGAGTTGAGAGATTCCGGCCAGCTGCATCAGACCCCCCCCCCCAGAGGAGCGCAACGTATCCCAATTGCAATAAAAAATACCACGCCGAAGTACGAGTACGACGTACAACAGTTCTGAAATCCGAAGTGTGAGGAAAGTGTGTGTGTGAGAGAGATACGATGGCCCACATCTGTATTGGTTCAAATGTTGTTCATACTTGTTTGTTATTTGGATGTGCGTTCGCCCTTTGTTCGTACTCGTGCCGTATTTGGTTCGTACCCGTATTTCCGCGTTGCACATATTTCATATTTGCGTTGCGTGGACCTCGTCTGGTTCGTTCTTTCGATCCGCACTTGGGTTACACTCGTGCCATCGTGTCCTACGCGTACTTGTACCTTTTCCTTATCTTGCCAAAATGGAGGATCTCCTGGTCTAGCCAGCTTCGAAAATCATTAGCCCAGAGGGCTTGGCGACCTTCATCCCATCGACTTGCGCGGGTCAAGCCAGGAACATCTAGGCGAATCCATGTTTTTCGAAGTAGTTCCAGAGGTCTGCAGCGAAATCTGGAGCGATCCGTGGAAGCTCCAGCGCGAGTCGCTAAACAGCATGCGTAAGTCTTCAGCCCTTCATGACCCTGGTCGGCGCGGCCCAAAGCGCGCGCCCCCGCAGAGAGGTTCAGGTGGGCCAGGTCGCGAAGCAGCGCAACCTCTCCGCGCTGCTGCAGCTGCAGCGGAGCGCTAGGAGTTCCTCGTCGGGGCGGGGGGAGGCCCGAGGGAATCGAGAATTGCTTTGGAGCCAGCTGGGAGACTGAATTAGGCCAGCATTGGTTCCAGCCAGAAGGGCCCCCTCGTAGCGCCACGGCTGGGCGCGGCTCGAAAAGTTAGTCGGTGTCGGCCCCGCGAGGGATCTTGGGACAGATTTTCAGCGGATTTGCCCTCGTCCTCCTCTTGACCGATTTTCTCGGTGCCCATCCAGCTCAGACCCCCTGGCCGCATCCAACCCGAGAGGACTGATAATGGCGTTGTCTTGGAAGTCTAATTCTTGACGCTCCGCGTATCCCCACCAGTCATGACAGCTCCCGCAGTCTACAGACCCCAGACTATCGGCACCACCCTACCAGCTCACAAGCTGTCTGACGGAAGGTTTGGGCCCGACTCACACCGCACGGGCACCTACTCCGCCAAATGTGACACTTGCCCAGCAGGATCGCCCCTACTAGAGCGGTCGGTAACCAGCCTTGCACTAGGCTGCTTTATGTGGGGCCTGGAGCCCGACGAGACAGGACTACCGCCATGGGACCTCATGCCCACCCTCTGGACCCAACAGCAGTGGAACGCAGGCTGGGCCTGCAGACGGTGCCTCATCCACAATTGGAACGTGGCCCCAGGTACGCTCGACCGCATACTGGACCAGCACTCGTCCAGCGTTTACCCCACTGCACCAGCCAAGCGGGCAGCGGCAACAGAAGTGCAGAAGGAGAGCCACGGCATCAGCGTCTACCTCACCCCGGCCTGTGTCAACGCGGCCGCCAAGGATGCGTACACAACGCAACTAGCCGCAGACGGAGAGCCGACCCCCCTTATCAGCGTTGGCCACGACAGCACAGGCGGGGAGAGCAGCGGGTCAAGAAACGCCGCACGGGACATCAAATCCTTGTTCCCCGACATCTCCCCGCCTGAGTCAATTACCTGCTAGAGTGTAACCCCACTATTTACGAGCAATGGGCGGAGTTCGTGGGGCAATACGGCGACGGGATAACAGGCGAGTTGACCGATAAAAGGTCGTGGCCTGCAGGACGTCTGCGACAGTTCCTGGTCAAGATCTACGGAGAGACGATCCCCAGCAACTGCCACCCCCTCAGCATCCCATGGGACGGCCAGCGGGCCGCGGCCGCACGAGTGGTCCACCACCTAACGAAAGCCAGCGGGATGTATGAGGCTATGTGGTGCAAGTACGCTGCCGGCCTAGCTGAACAGCGAGGCCAGTGTCCCCTCCGCCAGCGGCTCAGCACCCTATTGACATACCTCATGGGGGTGGACCCCACCGCCCTCGCCGACGGAACCATCAGTGCACTCGCCAACCGAGACCCGCGCGGGACAGGCACGGACTTCGCAACAGCAGCCGAATCTCCAGCTGCAGCCTGGTTGATCAGAACAGGCGAGGCTGCAGACACCCCCCCAGCAGACGGCCACGGCCCAGAGCGGGATGCTGCCCCGGATCGCGCCTCCAGAGCAGGCCCCCGCGCCCCAGGAGCCGATGGTGCCGATGGCCCTCCTGCGGAAGGACGAGGCCCCTCCAACCAGACAGGCAAGACTGAGGGCGAACCGGATGCCCCCGACTGGGACGGGGACGCGAAAAGCGAGTCAGACACAGTCAAAGACACGAGCCCGGCGGTTAGCCCGACACCAATAGCGGACGATGACGAGGAGGAGGATCCCTCCGACCCCCTAAGAGTCTCCAAAAACACGCCCACTAGGCCCAATGCCTGGACCCCGTGCTCGCAGACCGTCGACCGGGCTGCCGCCCGGGAGGTCAGGAGGGCGAGAAGCAACCCCGAAAGGACATGCAGCTCAACCTGGGACATCATGGGTGCCAGGGACGACCGCGCCCTCAGCCGCATGGCAGGGGACAGGGGGCGCCACCGGCCCGCGTCGGAAGACGCCAAGGACGGGGAAGGACGCGCAGCCAAGTCACCAAGGGGCAATCCCTCCCGGGTGGAGATCCACGAGGCGCCCTGGAGAGACGTCAGGATCGCACAGCAACGCCGCGAAGGCCCGAACGACCCCATGGGAGGCATTCCCATGTACATGTGCACCGTAGCAACTGCAGACGTCGGAAGGGATGAACCAGTGCAGGACAAGATTATACGCCTGCAAAAGACGCTGGGATGAGCATTCAATGGCGTATGGGCCGCATGGGTCAAGCGGGCTGCCCTGAGACAGGAGCTCAGTGGAAGCCAGAAGAGCGACCCCGAACTGAACGCGGTCCAGACGCGCGCTGAATTCCTCGAGGCTTGGAGCGACGCAGGACGCGACGCTTACAAGATGGACAGGAAGCTTGGGCTCGGCGTCAACTGGGCAGCGGTCATGGACAAGCACATGAGAACCATACGCCGCAACCCCCGTGCAAACGCTCAGCGCGACTACGACAGCGACAGCAGGCCCGCCCCATAAACAGCTGAGGGCAGAGCGGCCGCCGCCGCGGCCACGCAGGACCGCTGGGCAGGTGCCATCGGTGCAGCCACCCCCAGCCAGTGGCAGGACTGGCAGGAATGGAGCCTCGTGGGATCTGCACGAAGCCCCATGGACGGGAAAGGGCAAGCAGTACTCCCCCAGGGGGGGCGACCGGCACTCGGACAAACGCGCCCGCTGGCGGGCAAGGGGCGACTCCTGCACCCAGGGCTGACAGCGCCGGGCTTACCAGCCTCAGCACATCTGGCGCCCCGGGCCAACCTGCCCTGCCCCTTCATTCCCGCTCTTCGCGCCCCCGAGGGGCCAGTTTCACTTCGCCGCGCCCGGCCCAGGCTGCAATGCGTCGGGGCAACCTCCGCCGGGGCGCAGGCTGCCCCGCATCACGCCCACAGCGCAGAATGGCTAGACAGCCCACGCTGGACACGTGGACCGACCCCTCCTTTTTCGGGCCCAGGGGGGGTGCCCCCAGCTCCCGACATCTCACCCCCCTGAGCGACAGGGGATCCGCCCGCGGGACAGACAGGCCCCGGGCAGACCCACTTTGCTGTCTGACGACGACAGCCACCCATCCGCTGGCGGTGAGGGGGCGGCCACTGGACCCCCCCCATGCGCCTGCGGATCGACTCGTGCAGGTCAGTTTTGGCAACGCCGACTCTAGCGGCGATCAGCTGCGACCCCTAAGGATCAACTTTCAAGGACGCACCCATTTTCACTGACCTGAGCGGCGATCAGCTGCGACCCCCTGGAACAACCATTGCCCCCGCCCAGTGCGAGAGGGCCCGGGCAAGGGGAGAGGCGGCTTTCCCCCCGCCCCCCTGTGCCGGAGCCAGACGGGTGCCCCCCGCTCTGGGCGACGGGGGCCCGACGTCCTGGCAAGACGTTGGGGCGGCGCCCCCCCCCCAGGGCCGCCCTCGCCCGTCGCTGTTTGGGGCCGGTTTCCCCCCCCTGCGGCGGTTCGGCGCGGCCCTGGAGGGCCGCGTGGCTCACGGTGGCGGGCTCTGGGCCCGGGTGGCATGCGCCGGCGGCGGGCGTGGCCGGTCTGGCAGTTGACGGCCCTCTTGCATCTCGCGTTGCAGCCCCCCCGGCTCGCCGCCCTGCGACTACATCATCGCCCGTGCCAGCGCCGCGTGCCTCCCGAGGTATTGCTCAACCTGTGCCCCCGGAGACAATCTGATTGAATCCGGCTCGCTTCGTGGTGCCTCAGCCCCAGCGCGCCCCATCTCCTTCCTCGCCCGCGATGCTCACCGCGCCAGCGGGCTCTCCCAATGACCGCACTGGGCCGGCGCGCGCTGGGTGGGTCACAGTTGCACGGTACCCCTGACACTGTGATGCGGCCCAAGTGGGACTGGCTTGTGTGCTGAGCGGTTCAGCCTTCAGCGTCATGGCAGCTGATCAGGCCCACATTCACCCCCCAGTGCGCTGCGCCACGGTTAACGACTGCTCTGCCGGCTTGGCGTACGCAGGTCGTCCGTTTGGAGTCTGGCGCCTCATCGGCGATTCACTTCCCGCCCATCGAGGTCCGTGGGTCCTGCGCGTTTCCCGCGATGGCCACTTGAATTCTGGTCATTTTGTCCAGTGCACGTGCCCGAGCTTGCAGTGCGCCACCCAGTTCAGCGTCGCCCAGACTGCAGCCGCCGTCTGAGTGGGCCGGCCGGCGCCTCTGCTTTGCAATTACCCTTGCCCGTGGCCCGGGCGTCGCCTTCGCCGCCTGACCGTCGCTTGGCGGCCGCGACCAAATCAAAAGTATCCCCGCCAGCCCAACCATAATTGATTGCCAGTTTTCTTGAGGTCTTTCGGAGGCTATATTGAGCCATGCTCGGCTAGAGGCTGCCGGAAGCTATCTTGAGCCATGCTCGGCTATCTTGGGCCATCGCGAGGCTGCCTTGAGGCCTTTTGGAGGTCTGTCGGAGGCTATCTTGTGCCATGTTTGGCTATCTTAGGCCATGTTGACGGCCATTTTGGGTTGCCTCGGGCCCTCTTGGAGCCATCGTGGGCCAAACAGGGCGTGGTGGAGGGTCGTTGGGAGAGGCTGGGGGGCCTCTTGGGGTCATCTTGGGCCCCATGTCTCAAAAAGAGGAGGTTTCTTAATTGGGATCCCTCCCAGGAGGCCCGAATGGGGCCAACACGATAGTAAAATCAACGATTGTGGCTTCCTCGCCGAGGCCGTTTTGGACGCTCGAAGGCCTCGCGGCGCGCCCCGCCCAGGCCCAGGGGGGGGGGGGGTAACGGGAGGGGGTTCAGCGAAAGAGAGAAGACAAAAACGCGTTATACCACCTAAGCCCAGGTTGGTGGGATTAGCTTCAGACTTGTTGAGCCGAAGAAGCGCTAGCATGCATTACGGCGCGCGAGTTGGCGACGGATCCCGCTTTCGTGCAGAATCGGCGAGCTGCGTAGCCAAGTCAGGCGGCATGGCATCATGCTTCGGAGGCTACCTTCCCCGATCCGTGGATCTCGCGCCCACGCGCCAGGTCCGCGGATCCGTAATCCACGTCAGCGTGCGCTTGAGTGAGTGTTGCTTTATAAGCCGAGCTCGACTTAGAACGAGAACTGCG